GTGGTAACTTAGTTTCTGCCGGATTGTAAACGGCTAATCAACGTACCGATCTTTCTTTGTAGCGAAAAAGGGCTATGTTTTGGATACAACCTTGGAAAGTTTGGCAAGTCGTACCTTACACAGAAGCTAACTCCGTTGGTTCGGTATTGCGGAGTCATAACTATCTTAGTGACCCACGAAGACTCGGCGCCGCTATCGTCCACTAAGACTCCATCATGAGTTCGTGGTTGCGTGGCATGAAAGTATTCCTGTTCAGCCTTCGATAACCGACTCCAGACCAACACACATATATAGCATCCATTGGCTACCGACCTGAAAAGTGAGTCTCGTGTACGATGATGAAGTTCCTGATAACGAAGACATTAGTGTTGCTTCTTTTCAAGACTCATAATGTATATTGCTTGTCAGACTTACGCTGAAGCTTCTCAGGCCCACGCTGAAATCATATTCGACCTCTGGGTCATGCTTTGACTCGGCGTTCTTTGAAAACCACCATAGTATGCGATACTGCGATAACGACTTTCTACAGAGCTCACAGAACATTGCGAGTTCACTGGGGGTCTGAAAACGGTGCTTGTAGCGCTTCTGTAGTTGCCTATATCTCGTAGAAGAGGAAACTGCAGGTTTGCGGCGTGGTCACCCCACCTTCCATTGCTCCATCTTCGTAAGTCTGCCTTATCGAGCACACATATGAGAAGAAAGACGCGTAAACACGACTTCGTTTCCAACGAAGAGCTTGGATGTGAGCATAATACGAGTTTGTTTAGTGGCATGAAGGTTTCGATTGATTCAATGGTTGATTTCCGAGGTCGTGTTGCAATGCTCGAGACGCCATACCCAGACCAGCATTAGCAGCGGAACCCCCAACCGAGCTTGCTTGAAAGATACGTAACCCCGCTGCGGCATTGCCCCACCATCAAATCGTTCGCAGCTGATGCATTCAGCCACCTGGCACATCCTCTAAACTCACAAACGTATGGTTATATTTTTTGTAATTTTCAATTTCGTCAACCACATCCGCCCGTTTAGCACAGTGGTACTGCGTCGCACTCGTAACGCAGCATATGTTCGATATGCGAAGATCCACGGTTCGATTCCGTGAACGGGCAACCCTCATTGTTTTTGAGGTTTGCAATGCCTGGTACATCGTGATGCATCCTCCGATTTGTTTTTGCGTACCCCTAGAGTAGTCAGCAATCGATTTTTTTTTTAGACAAAACAGGTTCGCGTAGGCTCCATGGTGCTCGGCAATACCGTCGAAACAACTGGACTCAAGAATGGTGTGCTACGCAGAGGGAAAGGATGAAAGCGGCAGTCGGAAGCATGGAGGTGTGGCGGTGAGGCGAGCGCGGCTGCGGCCACGCTCAGGGGCGCTGGCTAGTCGAAGGTGGAAGAGGCATGCGTATTTAGGTACAGCTTTTGGGAAAAGAAGAGAAAATGTGTAGTCAAAGTTTGCTACCAAAGTCATTCTGCTTTCTCATGCAGTGTCACGACTCTTCGTGCACCTATCCGACGGGCCTCGTCCTCATGATTATGTGCTAGCTGCACCGAACGCATCAGTACACTCGGCATGAACAAACGCATCTCAATGTCGTGGTATTTTATCAAGACTATAGTACAGCAATACAGCTCCTATGCTGCTGCCTTTTGCGGCTTCCCGCCAATCAGCGCCAAAATGTTATCGAACAGACCCTGCGGTGGCGGAGGGACTGAGCCGTCATGCAGCACATTCTGCAGATCCTGCATATTGAAAACATGCTCGTCGCGCTCAATGTCTTGAGTAAGATCTCCAGAAACCAAGAAGTTCGCCAAAGGTCTACCGGCCTCTTCTTCTTCGTCTACTGGGTAGGCGATGGACCGCCTGCCGACGTGTTCCTCTGGCGGGGGAGTCGGCAGCTGTAACGATCCAGCGCTAGGAGTGATTGTCCTGAAGTACGATCTAGAGTCAAGAACAACGTAGCCACCGCTTGTTCGGGACGCGAGTCCGAGCGTGATGCTGAAACATGTATCTTTCCAAATTGCCTTCTGGTGCTCTGGACTGTGGATGGAGATCCTCGACGAAGTCCTCTTCTCGAATTGAGGAAGTGAGACGGCGAATGTACCATCGACTTCGTTGCAAGCTAGTCGAACGAGCGGTACGCGCTCCAGCCGTCCGATGCCAGGGGTTTCTATCGGGGCACTGTACGCGAGTGCGTCCGAAACCATGTCCCAGACAGTGATCGCATCAGCAACCACTACCAGATGTTGTCCAACAAATCCAAGGCCAGAAAGAGCTGTGACATCGATCTCTGTAAGTGATCGTCGAATGGTTGCAGAGTGAGTGTCGATCAGGTGCGTGACACCAGCATCTTCATCCAAATCCCAAGAGATTGAGACAGCAAGGACGGAGCCATCGGATGAGAAGGCTAGTCGGGAAGTGCGCGGTGGTAAAGATTGTTGCGAGCCTTCGGTAATGTCGAGCTTGTCATTGATCTCAACTGCTCGATCGAGTGACCAGGTGACTAGACCTTCCTGTTGAGCCCCACGAACGATGACTCCGTCGCGTGATCGTGTCTTGGGCCTCCAGATCCGTACGACATGGTCTTCACCAACAGTCGCGAAGCCCGGAGCAGCAGGATCAGCGACAAGATGGAAAACTCGTCCGTTGCCGCATACGTCCTCGAAGAAGTGTGGAGCGTCGATGCGAGTTTCCAGCTTCCATTGCGCACTGGTCTTGTCGCGTCGCCAGATCTTGAGGTAGACTTCACGACGATTTAGACGTTCTTGCTCGTTGAATTCTGGAATGCCTTCATTCAGATAGCGAGCATCTGATTGTGGCGGAACCCACTGCGAAAGGAGTAGAAGTCAGTGTGTGTGTCAAATGCGTCTTGTGCAGTTAGAACTTACCTCATCGATTGTGGCAAGCCATTCTCCATCGTGGCTGACTTGAATGTGCATGACTGTGGGTTCTTTGATCTGACCTCCATCTGGCGCGACATTTGGTTCAGTCGCGTTGTTGCGAGTGAGTGCCTGGCGCCCTTTAGCACGTTCGTTCGCGATATCATAAGTCTGTAAGTATGGCTCAGGCTTAAGACCTTCCTTCCGACGAGGTTGTGATGAAGGTACGGAAAAGAAGACTTCGGCTGGATTGGCTGGATTTACAGCCATGGGTACCGCATCAAAGAGGCCATGATACTTGCCAGACTTGGTGTCCTTAGGCTGTTGTTCGAAGTCGATTCGACGCGATTGGATGCCGATGATGTTCGTGCGGGCCTCGAGCTCGGTGGTAGAAAGAACGATGACGGAGTTGTTGGCCAGTGTCAATGCATAGGCTGAACCAGTAGGAGATACTACAACATTCTCAATAGCTGCAGAAAGATGAGGTAGGTGTTGAGGTTGTCCTGTGGCAAGCTGCCATATCGTAAGGACAGTCTCGTCGCCACCTGAGATGATGTAGTTGCCGTCCAAAGACCACTTGACAGACCCTACCGCGTCCCTGTGCCAATGGAGTCTCTTGGGCCTGAAGCTCGCGGCGTTGTCCGCTCCTTCCTTGTTGCTCTTCTCAATCGCAGCAAATGAGGCCAGAATGTCTTCAAAGAGAAGAATCACGCCAGTATCCTCACCAACAGCAATGTCCAGTACATCTCTTTGGTTACCGTTGTCTTGTTGCTCGCGGTGGTAAACGCTGAACGTGGTGATCTGCTTCGAGAACTTGAACTCGCGCCAAACATACTCAAAGTCCTCAAGAGCCGTCTTGCTGGCCTTTGCGCGCTTTCCAACGACGATAGAGTCAGTTGTAGCAGCTACAACATATTTGCCTTGTAAAAGCACCTGGAGACCGCGGATCGCAGAGCTTGCACCCAGCACTTGCTTGACTTCCTTCAGTTCCCGGGATTCTTGGCGCCGAGTACGAAGGACGCGCACACTGATGGTATGGCGGCCTTCATCAACATCATGACAGTATACGAGGTCATCGTCGGCCTTGGCCTTGGAATCAGACCCAGGTGGGGAAATGACCGTCATGTGCTGGACTGTGGCACCAATGTTCCAACGGCCAGCCGTCTTGCCAGCCACCCAGTTCCACAGTATTATATGCCCGTTCGAGTACGCGGCGTACACGAGGTGAGGGTTCGCGGGTGATAGGGCATACGTTGTGAGGTTTCCTGTGTCGTCTTGGGAGAGCGTGTTGACAAGCAACGAGGTTTCGGTGGCATATACGCGTAGCGAATTGGAGTCGGCTATTATCAGATACTTTTCGTCGGGAGAGAAGACAGGATCGGCTGGTATGAACCATCCACCTTGAACTCGTGAGGAAATCCATCTCTCTGTCTTCTTGTTCTTTCTCTTCTTTACTATGGCTTCTGTCGCGGTGCCTGTCACTTCAGCCTCCGTAATTCCATCGCGGTCTTGTCTGTTCTTTTCCTTTCGCTCCTTCTTGTCCTTCTTTTTCAGCGCAGACTTGGATAGTCCTGACTTGGCGAGCTTGCCATTGACTTCAGCCGGCTTCGTTGGGGTGTCGGTCGTCGCATCTTGGATCGCGCCGTTCGTTATCGGGGTTGCAGCCGATTGCTTCTTTGGCGTAGGCGTGCTCGTGGATTTGGGTACTGCATTGGTCGCGCCGTTTACAGGTTCGCCGTTGCGACCGTCAAGTTGCGCGGCGGCATCGCTCTTTCTCTGCTTCTTGGCCTTCTTCTGCGCCGCAGCTTCCTCGGCCTTCCTCTTCAGTTGTGGAGTCGCATCCGCCATACTGGCTGATTCTTGGTGGTGTTGGCGTGAGAAACCACGAATGTGGGCGACTGTCGTAGAGTGTCTGGAGCCGACATGTCGAAGGCTTCGAACTTTTTTGATGGACCTTGGCCCAAGCTTTTCACCGCCCGCGTCGCTAGCGCGCCCGCAACTTTCTTTGGCGTCCACCACGTCCAACACCGCGAGAACCTCACCTTAACTTTACGCGCTCTCATAGCTACTGGGCTGTCGTCGCATAATCTCCCACATCACACCGAAACTCCGGAAACCCCAAGATGATTGTTCCTATCCGTTGCTTTTCTTGCGGAAAGGTAATAGGCATACTCTCCAGCTCATGCGCGCACCCACTCACAATGTTCAGGTCACCGGCGACCTATGGGAGAAGTACATGACCATCCTTAGCGAAGGAAAGGAAGAAGCGTAAGAAGCCTTTTCGGGATTGTATTCGCGCGCGCGCCTGCCCTCTAACCAAAGCCGACCACCTTTTGCTACTCCAAGTCTTATATAGCAGCAAGACCTTCACTAATACGTCTTCCATCTAGTGAGGCCCTCGACGAGATCGGTCTTCAACGCTACTGCTGCCGCCGCATGATTCTCACCCACGTCGATCTGATCGAAAAGCTCCTCAAGTACGTGCCCGCTGCCGATGCCGACAAGGTGTTGCGTCGCCAGAAGGAAGAGGAGAAGAGGCGATTGCGGTGATTACGTCCCGGACAGGGGCTGACACTTATCACAGGTACAACGCCAGCGAACGAGAACAAGCCCGCGCCGCTCGCGGCGGACGATAGTCAAAGGACGATACGAACAGAGAATCTGGAGTTTGGGAAGGCATACTTTATCATGGCAAGGCGTTATTCGGGCGAAAGCATATTGGGTTGCACTAGATCTCATTTCACCCACAATCTGGAGGTTTGTGAGATCAGGCAGTGCTTGAGTATAGTGAGAGCCGCGGGCCCGTCTTGGAATTTGGTCGACGCGTAGGGCATATGTACAAAACGCGCAGTCTCAACATCTACCACTTGGACCGATAACAGAGCCTCACTTCTGATCATTCCTCACACTTCTTACCCTCACTGCCCCAGTGCTCCTCCACCCACTCGGTCATAATATCTGTAAAGCTCTTCTCGTTGTCAAACGCCTCAGTATCCTCCAGCCCTCTTTTTGCCCCCAGGTACTCGAGCGCCAGCAATATCCATTTCTCAATAAACTGATTATACATGAGATCAATGGTCTCTGGCTCCACGTCTGTCTCTGATTGGTCGAAACCGACAGCTGACTGAATACAGTTCGGAACATTGTAGAAAGCGATGGGCTCGTGGATCGTATCATCGCCGTCTGCCCCAGCATCGTCCTTGGTGGTGTAACCTGGGAACGGTTGTGGCCCATCGATGCCATGGAGAGGTGCCTGGCCTTCGGGGAGTTTAGCGAAGGCGAAGTCAGATGTAAGCAGATGTGGTCGAGACCGCGCTGCCGAAACCTCTGGTGGCTGCAGGAATGCATTGCTCTCCATCATGGCCAACATAATGGGACCCTCATTGTTTAGTAATTTGAGCACCTGACTAGCGGCCTTGTAAGGTACATCCTTGATGTATCGGATCCCACTGGTGAACGGAGAGACCAGGAACTTTGTGTCCTTGGTGAAAGCTCCCTTGAAGATGTCAAAGCGGATAGCGCCAGTGTTGGTAATCACAAATGCCTTCTTTCCACCCTGGATGCCATCAGACTTTTCAATAGTCTGCGGCAGCAGTTGCTCCTCGATCCAGGTAAAGATACTCTCGTTGTGCGGGTATGGGCGACGGCTGATCCAAAGATCTTGTGGAGCACAGCCGTATACTTTGCCCAGCCCAAGAGACGCTCTGGCATCACCAATCGCCTTGGAGACCTTCTTACCGTGATCGGTCGCGAACTCTTTGGCGTCTTTTCCGCTGTGGTGACGCAGCGAATAAAGATTGTTGTCAATGTATCGACGGGAGAAGGTGAGCTTTGGACTCTGAGCTAGAGGCGTTGCGTCTTTGGTACCGCCAGTACTGAGACCGTCAATAGACATGAAGCCGAGCGTCTCCATATATCGCCCACTTTCAAGAGCGACAGCTTTGTTATCAAAGATCTTGTAGTCGCGGATGTGGCTATGACCTCCGAAGAACTGGATGGGCGTATCCCAATGCATCGACCGTATAGTAGAGAACAAAAGCGCATATTCTTCGGAACGGATGTCAACATGGCCAAAGACGATGATCAAGTCGATGTCCTGGCTTTTAAGGGCTTCTGTGAACCACTCCTCGTGCACTGTGTCCTCAACCCTCTGAACGACAGTGTTGTTTGCGTTGCCCGTGAAATCGAATAGGAATCCGAAGGCCAGGATGCGTATACCTTGGTTTTTAGTAGTGAATCTTTTGAAGCGGGGTGCGAGTGGCTCCCGCTTCCCAGTCTCGGGGTTGTAGATGTCTAGATTGGAGGCCAAGTAGTTTCCTTTGAAGTCGGGAACCGTGTGGAAGTATTCGCCCTCAGCAGTGTTTGCTTTGTACAACTCATGGTTGCCTGAGCATATCAGATCGATGTTCTGTTCTTTGGCGATCTCGTAGGTAAACCTAGATGTTGGTGTGGGAAGTCAGTACTCATCTCACCTGCATTTTGAAGGGAGTACTAACTTTCCACGAGGCTTTGAGGAGTCGTAGATGGCGTTTCCTTCTGCAGGGGGAAACATGAGATTAGTATACATATCATACGCATCTTTACACCCAACTCACCAACACGGTCTCCAGTATCGATGAGCAGCAAGTCTGAGCCATCCGCATCTGCTTTCTCACGCATGTGCTTTGCAAAAGAGACATAGTCGCCCCAATCAGAAGAGAAAGACGCCTCTTGGAGATGGCCGCCCCACCACCCATGCACATCGGTAGTATGCAGGAAGTTGAGCTGTGCCCACGGTAGGTCGCGCAGAGGAGCCGCTTTAGGACGCGGCGCTTCAGGTTGCACACAGGATGCCGCTTTGAGAAGGGCAAAAACAACAAGGGATTTGTGAAACATGGTGAAAGACATGGCGCTGTACTACCCGTCCCCGTCGCAAATGAGGTTGTCTCAAGCAACCATCAAGGTACTGGCGATGCTGGAACGTAGTCTGATGACAACCTTGGAAAAGACAAAGGTCGAGATGGAACGCGCAGGAGCAGGAAGCGAAACGAAAGCAGCAAAGTGGTTGCAGCGGTGATGAACAGGTGATGTTGGATGTTGCGGTCAGTGAGTCGATAGCCAGCCACCCGGGCCCGCTTTTAGCCTAGTAGTAGCACCAAAAGGTAAGGCATGATGCATCCGCCGCCCGCGACGACGCCAGCAAGCTGCAAAAACGTGCAAAAAGATAATGTCAGCGGTGGGATTCGAACCCACGCAGGTTGCCCTATGAGAAACCTCTTGAGAGTGCGTCTTCCGGAGAAGACAAGCTTTCGCTTGAGTCACACGCCATAACCACTGTCGGATGTTAGATGGGAAGATGTCAGGAGCTGGGAGAAATGCTTACCTCGGCCACGCTGACTGATTCGATGACAAATTTTCAACATAGACATTATATATCGCAGAATCTTCTTTGAGCTCTAGCTGCATGCTGTGGGGTGGCCGACATCCCCTTGTCTTGAAGTGTGTAAGCTCAGCAACCATTTCCGTATAGCATGAACCAGACCCATTCTGGATATCCACACTGTGTAGATTACATAAGAACAACGTACGTGTGAGCGGTACAGCTTCTCGGTCAGCCGTGGTTCATAAGACGGCCACGAGGGAAGGTCGCCGACACCGAGGATCGACACAGTGACGTGCTGAAAACAGGAGACAAAACAGCAAAAGGCTTGCAGTGGTAACGAGACATGTGATATTAAATGTTTCGAACGAGTGTCGGACGGTCAGTCAGTCGATGGTAGCCAGGCTGCCTAGGTAGCCAATCAGGCAGTGACGTACGCGGTGAATGGTTGACGGGCCGTGGCTGCAGCGAGCTGGTCCATGTGAAGTCTAGCGCCAGCCTTGCTAAATGCAGTTCAACATTTTTCTATGTACACGACAACACCAGCCACCTCACAACAACTTCCAATCCAAACACTTTTACGCGCATCAACCTTCGTTCGTGTCGCCAACTCTCGTTTGTGTCGCGCGCAATGGCTAGAGCTTCCCGTTCTGCGAGCGCAAAGCCCGCTGAGAAGAAAGACGCCAAAGATGTCAAGGTGAACGGCACCCGTACGTCACGTCCACCCACAGTAACCATGCTATCGCTGACAAACCTCGCAGTCCCACGAAGAGGCGCGAAGAAAGCCGAAGACGCGCCTGTCGCCAACGGCATAGCTGAGGAAGCCGAGGAAACTGAGGACGTCGAGATGGCCGACGAAGACACCAACGAAGTTGAGGCAGCTCCACCGAAGCGTAAGCTCAACGCGTCCGAAATAAGGTCAACCGCTAAGAAGACAGCAGCTGCTGGACGCAGTCGCGCAAAGAAGACAGAGACTCCTGCACCTGAACCCGCGGCCGCGCCTAAGAAGACGACCAAGCGCAAGAAGGACGATGAAAGCGAACCGGAGGTCGAAGACGCGCCTGCTCCCGCCGTGAAGAAGCCCAAGGTAGCGAAAGCTGCCCCCAAGACTGCCCCGAAAGCAGCAGCGAAAGCCGCCCCGAAAGCCGCGTCAAAGACCGCAACGCCAGAGCCCGAAGCCGCGAAGGTCGATCCGGCTCTGATCCCGAACCCCAAGGGCCCGCGTCGCAACAAGGGCAAGAAGACTGAGATCAACGAGATCCGCTACACGGAACCTCTGAAGGTTTTTGTCTTTGGTGAAGGCTCTTCTGGCGAGCTCGGCTTCGGCGCCACAAGCAAGGCCATCGACGTGAAGCGGCCGCGCTACAACGAGCCTCTGTCCAACTTGAACGTTGTCAAGATTGCTACTGGCGGCATGCACGTTGTCGCACTCACAAAAGACAACAAAATCCTGACATGGGGTGTCAACGACAACAATGCCCTTGGACGCGACACGTCGAACGCACCCGTCAAGATGCGTGATCTAGACGCGGACGACTCTGACTCCGACTCTGAGGATGAGACCGGCGGCTTGAACGACGCTGAGGCCACACCAACGCCCGTACCATCCGAGTTCTTCCCTGAAGACACCACCTTTGTCGACGTCGCTGCCGGCGATAGCTGCTCTTTCGCACTTACTACTGAGGGCGCGGTCTATGGATGGGGCACATTCCGAAAGAACGAAGGTATCATGGGTTTCGAACGCGACAATCATACAGCGCCTCGACCCGTCTACATCGACAGCATAAAGAAGGTCATTCAGCTCGTGTGTGGTACCAACCACGTCTACGCCCTGGACAAGGACCACCACGTATATGCTTGGGGCAACGGCCAGCAAAACCAGCTTGGACGCCGTGTCACTGAGCGCAATCTCATCCAAGGTTTGCAGCCCAACAAGATTGGTTTCCACGACTCTTCCATCAAGAAGCACAGCCAACGCATAACACACATCGCATCCGGCGACTACCACGGTCTTGCCATCGCAGAAGATGGGCACGTCTGGGGCTGGGGTGCGAACAACTACTGTGAGACTGGTTACACCAAGAATGCTGGTGCAGATGATGCTAGCGTTCTCCAACCCAAGATCATACACAGTTTGGAAGGCAAGGGCGTCCAATCATTGGCAGGAGGCTCGCATCACAACTTGGCCATCACCAAGGATGGACAGGTGCTAGTCTGGGGTCGCTGCGACGGCTCGCAGACTGGTCTTCCTCCGTCCCAGCTTGATGCAGAGACGGATGAGCACAAGGTTCTCAAGAACAACGGCAAGGCGAAGATCGTCGTGCAGCCGACACCGCTTCCCGACCTCAAGAACATTGTCGCTGGTGCATGCGGTCCTGATCACTCCATCGTCGTTGACAAGGACGGCAAGGCTTACTCGTGGGGTTTCTCGGTCAACTTCCAAACGGGTCAGGGTACCGACGACGACATTGAGGTCCCTACCTTGATCGACAACACCGCTGTACGTGAGACGAAGCTTACATGGGCTGGTTGCGGTGGTCAATACAGTATCCTGGCAAGCAAGAAGGAATAGGCTGTCCAGCCTTCATCTCAGCTTGACGCTGGGAATATTGATGGTAGCAACTCTTCATCAGGATGCTTTCCATTTTTTCACATTTAGTTGTTGTGTTTCACTTTTGGGACATTCAGACCAGCATTCACGGCGTTCTAATCTTTCACGGGTCGTTTTGGGATAGCGAATATCTGATTCTGCACACGGGGTTATCCAACGTATTCATTGCGCGGCTGAGGGTTAGGCCTTGGAAAACGACATGGCTGTAGTAGAAGGCGTAGATTGGGAGGAAGGCTCAGCCGTGCTTGTGAATAACTTGTAATAGTACGATGCCATGCTATCTTTCAAGACGACTTCCTGTACATATATGCGGTGATATCTCGTATCTCAGAAACCTTGCGCAGACATGTTGTGCCATGAGACGAAAGACGTAGGGAAGGCTCATGATGGACTGTTGAAAGACGGACCCTTACATAAGCAACCGATGACGCTCGACCCTTCTTAGCCAAAAAACATCATCACCAATGTCCAAAGCGCATCGATAGCAACCCCGCAACAGCCCAATTCTACGATCGCAAACTCCGTACGCCCTCCGCAGATAAATACCCAGACTATTCGAGACTGACGGATTGTGCAGCGTCTCACCCGTCTCCGCAACGATGCCACCCAAGCAGATGACAGGCAAGGGCCGTACCCTCAACGAGCCCAGCTTCGCGTCCAGCACCATCTCAGCCTTTACGAGCAAGGATAACAGGAGTATCGTTACTGCCGCGGGAATGTTCGCTGTAAGTCGCCCTGGGTTGTCGACACTGCAGACGAAGGATAGAGCACGATAGAGAAGGAAAACAGAGGCAAGGGCAAATGCTAATGACCGCGTGTAGATTGGCGTAACCTTTTTGCACAGCAGCTGGGCCGAGATCCTACTTCCCGCGTAAACCCGAATCGATCTCATACAAGGAGACAATGCGCCAGCGCCAGGCGAACGAGTTAGGCGGAAATGCGAGTAGCCATCGCAGGGCAACGAACGATTCTCGACGCCATGTACAAAGAAGCAAACTCTGGTTTGAGGAAGAGCGTTGAAAAAGAAGGCGTTCAGGCACGAAAGCACACATACCAGTAGTGTGAAACAATATCCCCAAAGTCTTCTCTAAAAACGGTCTTATAACGATCTTGTAGAATTATGTATAACAATGACGAGAACACGGCTACATACTCTGTCCTTTCTGTTTGTCATTGCAGTGCTTTCAATTAGACTTTTGGCAGTTCGTCTCACCACCTCACATCTTTCGCCATCAGTCATCGCAGTACGTCACTGCTCTCTCCACACAAAGATCCGAAACACCATGCGCGTCACCCGCACCGACGCGTATGAAGGTTCTGTAACCCACACAACTGGAACATACCAAGCACTGTCTTGCTGTCACAGAAATGCTTAGCAAAATAGACTTTTCGGATTGAACCGCATCGTGTTCGTCTTTTCTTCTTTCTTCCTTTTCACGTCTCCAGAGACGCAGTCTCAGCTTGGCTCGAGTTTCACTTCGCCTTGTTGAGATTCTTCTCTGCTTCCTTTACGAGTACTAACGTTATTGGCGAGAATACGCGCGTCGGCTGCTGAGTTTGACAGAACGGTGTGTGACGTCCTTTCTTTTGCACGATGGCGAGATCGGAGACGCGGATTTGTTATTTGCCGTCCGGATTTCCCGCGGGTTTGTCACGAGCTGTTTCGGGCGCGTAATCGGACGTATCGGAAGCACACGCGTGGCGTATGCACATACGTCGAGATGAACAAGTTGGTGGACGGTATCGTTTGGCTATCGTGAAGTGTGCCTTGGCGCTCATGAGCTGTCTGTTGCCATTGCACGCGCCAGTCAGTTCGCCGAGACAGGCTTTGGGTTTGTTGGCAAATTGCAACAACGATGGTGATTCGTACTCGGTAGATTACTTTCATACGGCACGGTGGCGTCAAGGACTAGTTGGTCTGCGGCGCAGCGAAAGTAACTTGAATGGTAGTCTGAAAACCTGGTTGTTGGTACTTCCACGCGCTGGTGGCGCATGCAGAAGGCCTAAACTGCGTGGTAGCTATCTACTGCAGGTACTCCGGGTATCAATGCAGGTATTTACACGATATCACATTGCGGCAGAAACAATTGTTGGTGGTAGTTCTTCATTCGTAAGGTTCAATTACGCCTTCCATACATGCAAAGCCGACTCTAATAGCGGATCAACAGTCCGGCTGTGAAAAAAGAGTGTACAGGTGTTTATGCATGCCAGCAAAAACCAGCAATTATGCTCGCTACAAATACAGCAAGATCGAGCGCTGTCAAAGCAAGTACGCCGAAGCAGTCAATATGCGTTCGCGAGGATGAAAGGAAATGTAATGTGGATCGTAATAATGCGTGATGCTGGGGTATCTCTAGTCTATACTTCTCTAACCCAAACCTGATAAAGTAGTTAGTACGTAGTCTTCAAGGTGAAAGTGAACGAAGAACTTACCTCCATCTTGGCCATATCGCTGCCTTCCTTCCTTGCAACACTCTTCGCCGTCTGGATGGCCATGTCAAGATCGTCCTGGTCGGCCATGGTGATCATGTCGCCATCGTCTTTGAACTCCACCTTGAACTTATTTCGTACACCGAACTTCTCCCGAATCTGTTGCCAGAATTCAGTGATTAACTGATCGGAACTGATAAAGACGTAACGTGTGTCGCTAGAGTGGACCTTCACTCTGACTTTGCTGCCTGCACCGCGGGTGCTACCACCAGATCTGGCGGAGCGGGCGGGGGATCGTCTCCTGGATTTTGTGCGAGACATCATCTCGAATTCGGCATCATCAAGATCACTACCATCGTAGTCGTCTTCGTCTTCTTCTTCAATGTAAGCCGGTCGCCTGCTCTGTTTTGAGCGAGCGTATGCCCCGCGGCTCCCACGAGAAGGCGGGTAGGGGTCATTGTCGTAGTAGTCGTCAATGATATCATCGTCAGACCCACGGCGACGTGGCCTGTAGTCACGGTCTCGCTGGTCTCGCTGATCCCGCTGATCACGTTGCCCTCGGTCTCGCATTGACTCTGAACGACTTGGTGGTGGACGTTCAGAGGCGGAGCGCTGTGTTGGCTGGCGACGAGGCGGCTCGTTGTTGCTTTGCTGATCAAAGGCAGCTCGTCCAAGGTTCAGAGGCTGAGGCTTAGGGCCACCGCCTCGTACGGATTGCGCGCGGCTCATGGGAGCATCGGCGGCAGGTCTCCGCTCTCCACCAGATCTCCTGTCACCAGACCTTCTGTCTGCCTCCGGTGGCGGTGTGGGTGGGAACATGTTACGGTTCATTGGTGGTTCTGACTGCTGGCGTGCTCTGCTCTGAAGTTCTGGCTTGACAAGGTTGGTCGCCGCGTACGAGATCTTATCCTCAGTTCTGTCATCTTTTGCGGCCTGGCCTCCCTTCTTGATTTCGGCGCCAGCGAAGCCAGTAAAGGCATTGGCCCGGTCTGAAGCAGCGACCAGGCGGGCTTTTCCAAGATAGTCCTTTGTCTTCAGGTTCTTGACCTTGGCTTCGTTGGGACGGTAGACAATGCCGACGGGAATGGAGAAGACAGTGTAGCCTTCTGCTTCCTCCCGAATAGCCTCGTCGATCACATCATGGTCGGGCACCACTTTCTCCTTGGCTGCGAAAGACAGATCCTGTAGACCGGCGTCTCTTTGCTGGAGGTAGATGTAGCAAAGACCGCGATTGAACAGTACCTCGCAGGAGTATAGCTTGAACTTGAGACCCAATTGTTCGTAATCGATGTTGTTGTTTCCGCGTAGGTAGAGGAGTGTGTCGTTGAAGTTGGCGAGGGCTTCCTCGAAGTCGCCCATAAGGAAGTTTGACACACCCTGCTGGAAGTATGCCACTGCGAGGTACTGGTCCAGACGCACAGCGCGCTGGTAGCAGTCGACCTGTGTAGCCATCAGCACGTACTCCTACTACTGGAGCCATTGTTCAACTTACCGCCTTCTCATGCTCGCCAAGTGTGGCATGGATTACGCCGCAGTTGAACAGAATCTTGGACGTATCGGAGATTGTGTCAAAGACCTTCAATGCGACGTCGAACTCATTGTTGTCGTAGCTGGCGAGGGCTGCCACCCAGGTTTCGATTTCCTACCCCACCTATCAGTAATTGAACTCGGCAGGAGCGGCGACGCGCGGGAGGAAGGAGCGCACCTGCTTCAGAGACATGACGAGTGATCTTCACTTGTTACCCGGCAGTATGGTGTCGTCAAGCCTCAAGGTAGTGCCTTTCCTAGCACTCCACCGTTGGACGAGGGGTCGTGTTCCTTCTCACGCGCAAACTTCCGGATGTGTTCGTCTCAATTCCACCAGATTACAGAGTAGCCGCCGGGGCTTGTGGGTGTGCGCGACGTGGTGAATTAGTGTCCAGTAGGTGTGTGTGTGTCGCTATTAAGTCGTCGAGGTACACCAAGATGCGGTGGGTTGCGCGGGGGAGTTAACGATCGTACAGGTGTGGGAATTAAGGCACAGTTGGGAAACCGGGAGAGAGAGGAGGAGGTTTCGAGGGCAATGCTCGGAAGAGACAGGGACACGGTGGGAATTTGGCGGGCGGTTGCAGGAGGGCTACCGGTGGGGAGACCAATTCTGAGGTCCAGCGCGTTTGAGAGACAAGCCTTGGCCGACACGGTACCCGGCACCGTGATTGGATCCCTGCACCGTGAAGCCCGAGAGCCACAGCGCTACGCGCCTGTCCAAGACGCCTCAACCCGGCCGACTCGAGCATGACACCACCGTCCTGCGATGCTCCGAGAGCCTAGCGATTCTCCCAAGCGCCTCTGCAGTCCCCATAGCCTCGCTTCGTGAGGCTCACTGCCAGCAACCCACCGCGGCGCACATCGGACTGCTGGCCCCCTGCGATCATCGAGTGATGGCGTTTGAGGTCTGTAACGTGCAAATCCGCCGACTGAGACAGCCACGTGACGCAGCCTCTCCGCAGCCACTCATCCCGTCGCCTGGCGTTTTCAGGCATGAACGCATGACGATTCCAGGCCTCGCAAAGTCCGTGTTCGCGCAGTCTTAGTTTCGGCCTAGATTTCAAGGTGCAAGCCCTATTTCTCGTCACCAAACCAACACGGCATTTCGACGGCACTTTATTACTTGGTCTATCTTGGTGTCTCTTGAACTCATAGCATACCGCGATCGCGCTGCTCTTCCCTCTCCTGCCAGACCGTCTTGCCCGAACATGAACATACCGTCTTGTCGTCTGCACAGCCGTTAGCACATACGCACGCGAAGAGTACCACACGCCATGCGCAGAACACGTGGGGTACCAAGAGCACTCACTGTCCCAAACACCAGCGCTACGTGCGATGACACCCACTAGCGTATCCGGATCGTTCTTGTCAAACTGTGCAAGGTCAGAGTAGATCTCAGATCAACTAGCGGTTTCGCATACCTTGCCGTCTTGCTCTCGCGCAACCACGATGCTACGTCCGATCATCTCCCAGATGTGGATGGGCTTGTCCAGGAACACAGATCCGACTCCACCCTTTCCTACCTGGACGGTTCCAAAGATGCCCCGACACGGCTTGTCTTCCTTTTTGGCCTTGAGATACTCCCAGATGGCGCCGGTAGATTCTGGTCCGTCGGATATGTCGCCAGATTCGCGAACTGTGGCCTGGTACGTTCCAGGCGACAATCCCCTTATGCTCAGATCGATGATAGTCATACTCGGAGCTACTTCAACCATGCGCACTAATCCTCGAACTTTGTTCTCTACATTAGGTGCGTGCGATTCTAAGATGCATACTGCGGCGCCTGTTCGGACGTTAGAATCGACGCACATGCCGACTATTCAAGATGGAGCATACTGTCTGATCTTCCAGATCCTCTTAGAATTGCATCGCGGCCAGTTGCTTGAATAGCTTCAACAATGGCCGATGGCGCTGCTGTGCCCTCGACAGATACCAGTTGATCTTTAAGGTTGGCAGTGATTTTGTTGACACCTACATGCTGTTAGAAGCCGGATGACGTGCATCGGGATCAGTCGTACCACCCAATTGCTGGAGGGAGCCTTCGATGTCGTTGATGCACGACTGGCAGGTCATAGGCACCGCGAAGATGGTTTCAAACGACGGGACAGTCATGTTGAAAATTGTGAATTCGAGTGTAATGTTGTTTGAAACCCTGTGCTATTGGTAGAATGGTCAAGTTGCGAGCATGCCACTTCGCCTTTGGGACGCTTTGAAATCGAGGCCCCACCTAACCATGGTGTGGCGCAGGGCGGGCGGCCGTCCCCGGGCCATATTTTATCGCCAATCCACGTTGGATCCCAGGCTTGGCATCGACTTCCATCCACGCCGACAAGCCAACGCCGCTCGTAGCTTCGCCAGTATCTCCCGAGCGAGAACCCCGGACTCCAGGTCAATACCGACGCCCGACTATACTTGGCCTATTAGGTCATTGACTTCGCAGCCGCCATGTCGCAAGTCATAGGAAAGGTGTGTATTCTGTCAGACCTCCGCATCTCAGAACTCCATGATCGCAGCCAAAGTCACCATCGCGAGACGTGCTATTTCTAGGGCTAATATGTTATCTAGACGCGTCTGGCCTACGCCCGCTCATGGCACCATCTCGACATCGGCTCCGACCCACGCGCGCTCGGCCGCGTCGCCTCCGCTATAGCCCTGACCCTCATGGGAAAACACAAGCCCATCTTCGACCCCTCGACCGACTGCGGCGACTACGTTGTAGCCACAAACTGCTCACAATTGCACACCACTGGCAAGAAGCGCTTCCAGAAACTCTACCGCACACACACGACTCGTCCGGGCTCCCTCAAAGAACTCTCCATGGACAGGATGATCGCCAAGTGGGGAGGAGGAGAGGTTTTGAGGAAGGCGGTCAGCGGCATGTTGCCCAAGAACAGGTTACGGAAGGACAGGCTGGCGAGGTTAAAGACGTTCGAGGGGAGAGCGCACCCTTACAAGGAGAATATCCTAAAGGTGGGAAACGGTGGTGGACAGAGTATAGTGGAGCACGATGAGGTCAAGAAGACGTTTGCAGAGGTCAAGGCACAGAATGCGGAGGCACCAGTATCATGACGAGAGGTGGTCAAAGGGGTCAAGAGAAGATATACCATAGCATCAGGGTGCGTGTATAAGACATGTAAATCTACATAATTGTCCTTGAGCCGTATTTCATATTCTACGGCCACATGTACTTGGTTACTGGGTTTGACGTCGATTCGATAATCTCATGGATCTCTGATTTGTCACATCATATGCCGCGAGAGTGAGTAAAACGGTTGCATTCGCTCTACTCGTAAGATGGTATACTACTCTCACTCGTCCCCAACGAACAAAAAGAAATGGTGGTATAATGTTCTACTCTCCTTTGACAATCTCTCCAAAACTCGCTCGATGACCCAAAGAAATGTACAAAAAACCAATGTGCGACGGCATGATGCTACTGCATCTACAACTTCGACTTGGTACCCTTGCGAGTAACAGTGCAGAAAATCAGACCGTTGGGGTCAGATTGAGGAGCAAAGACAGTGGCGTCTTTGCCGGTGTTCTTGATGCCCTTGTGCCACGAAAGATCTAGTGCCATGTTAGCGAATGAATGCAGGAGAAGACAATTGGTCCCACGTACCGACTTCAAAGTAGTGCTTGTTGGGCAGCGCATAGTCGACAGCATCCACCTGAGGAACAGCGGCCAAGATCAGGTCGCACATCTTGTACATAGTTGCTTGTACACTGGCGCTATCATCCTCGGCGAAGACCTTCATGGTGATATCCCTTGCCGCGGTCCAGGCACTGTTGAAGTCTACGGCCTTGGCCTCATCCAAGTTCTTGAACAGCTTCCATTGCCAGCCAGCTTCAACCTCTGTACTCAGAATGCGGTCCCATGTTTCGGGCAGACGCGTGTATTCGTCACGGTGGAAGCCATGGAATGCTGACCCTGTGCTCTTCAGAACAAGGAGCTTCTCAATCTTGGAGCGAATAGAGACACCCTCGTTCTCGCGTGTCACGGATTCGACCACGCGAGTCTCTTCGCCGTCGCGGAAGAACGAGTGTGGGTGTGCTTTTCCGTCGATAGTCATGCGCGTCCATCGGTGCTGGATAATCTTAACGTGCGCGGCGTGAATGTGAGGGTAGGTCTTAACGAAGTGGTCGCCAATGATGGCAGCGAATTGCTCGGGCGGGTCGATAGGGTTTTGTTTTGCGAGTATGTAGGTTGTTTGCTTTTGCGTGTCGGTCGCGACTATGACAGAGTTGTCTGCTTTGGTGTAGCTGGAGATCGTTAATACAGGGTATGCTAGAGTCTCCGTGGAGAAGCGTACGAAGTCTCAATGTCTCCCTCAAGTAGGACACAGACTGTTTGTTCAACGACGGTGTGGACACCGGTGTTGGGGTCCTTGTCGACCTTGTAGAGACGGACGTTGTCCTTGCCGTAGCGGGCGTGAGTAAGCTGAGACATTGCGAGCGAAGCTGTGCAGATTAGGATAATAGCCTGGAATGCTTCAGATAAGGGCGCGAGGTGTATGTGATTAGGCGAGGGTCAGTTGGAAGCTGAAGGTGAGTGGATAGAGTTATCAAGAAGGGCGATCAAGCTAGATATACTTATGAAACGGCACCTTATCTGATGGACGGCACACGGAGGATACCGAACTGTACAGGAGCGGTTTGCGATTGAGGCACGAGCAAGCTATGGAGCGTCGGCAAAGAGGCGGCCAGAACGCGTTTCCATTCGTTGAGATGGCCATCGGCGAGCTCCGATCGAGGGAAGAGGCCCTGGATAGCGGCGCAGGGCGCGCACGTGACGGCGTCAGAACCGCTCTCCGCCCGGAGATGCACAAGGCGCCATGGGACTACGGGGCCTGAATTGTCGGCACATGGATTTCTGCGGCATGTCAGGCCATGATGGTGAGGTGCAGGGCGGTGGATCTGGTGGACGCGAGCTCAGCGTTGCAAGGGTAGGTGGGTAGGGAAATGTGCACGTCCCCACGCTCAGCGGCTGCTGCCCGCAACACGTCGAGATGGCGATGCTGCGCGCCATGCACCATTCACTCACACTGTCATTACACCAGCTCCACACTCCCTAGCCTCTGCCCCAGCCGCTCCTTCCCCGAACCTCCGCCACATTTCCGTTTTTGGCTAGGCACCGCAGCGACAGCGACTTCACCTGGGCCCGCGAATGCTCATGAGGCAAGAGGAGGGCACCGCCGAAAGACAGATATGCGATGCGGTTGGCGGGAACACGGTTAAGGCGCGCTCATGACGCCATCAGCTCGCTCCGTAAACACACAGGCCGATGCCGCCGACCAGACGTCTCTCCTTGCACCTACGACGAGTAGAGATGGGCGCTCTGCGTCGTCGGTCGGCATGGCCAGCTCGCGGGGAGGCCAGGCCTCGTATGCCTCGTATGCAACCGCCAACACAGGCCCTGGCAGCTTCAACACCGCTTTGGTACGGCCCTCGACGGCGCAAGACGGTCGGATACGTCCCGATTTCGACATGCACGCAATTACCGTGGGGGACAATGACAACACAACCACTGAGCAGAGGCAGGCAGAGCTGCAGGATCAGATCGAGAAGGAAACCAAAATCAAGATTGGCTCGGAGAACCTGCTGGAGGCATTGAACGCTAAGAACGCAAAAGACAGCAAGAATCAGAGGCTACAGGTCGAGGAACAGCTCAATATTTCGAACAGGAAATTGGCCCAGTTGCAGTCGGGATTGGCTGCGGAGAAACAGAGAGCAAAGGAAGTCAAGTCACCACCAGCGGACCCACAGAGCAGACTTTCATATCTCTTCCGACGGAATCTCTCACGTTCACCGTCGCGGCATATCGTTGAGAAAGAAGTGGGAGAGGAGGAGGAAACTGAATCGCCGACCTTCGTTCTGGCAGAGATATTGCAGGCCCTGGAAGTTCAGGGCTTGCAACCGGAATACTATGTAGAGAGAGCCAACTCTCTGGTCCTTCTCTTCAAGCGACACCCTACGCTGAAGTACGACCTAGCCTGGTCCATTTTCGGACTACGAATGCAAACCATGCTCCTGAGCGACAGCCGCGAAGTTGTTGCAGCAGCATATCGAGTCATGCGCTATTCCTTCACTGATCGCAAATCTCTCCGGATCATACGGGCTCTTCATACAGACCATCTTGTCATCTTGTCATTAGTAAAAGAGTCCAAAGCCAGTGTGGAACGTGAACAAGCACTAAAGTTTGTCCGAGCGTTCCTCGACGTTAAGGGAGGCGTTGAGGAAATCGCCCGCGCCGTAGTTCGTATCATCGTTGCAGTGGCCGAGCACGCAGAAGACCGACTGAGGAATATCGCGACCCTGACTTTGGCCGAGATTCTTGTCCGGAAGCCATCTCTTCTCGTTGCAGCCGGAGGTATGGGCGCTTTGGCTGATGCTCTTGGGGAAGGAAGCTATCACGCGGCCGAAAGTGTTGGCACTTCGTTCCTCTATCTACTGGATACTCCCAGGCGACGCCGCTTTTTGCGCTCCGGGCGCGAGCTGGAAGCTCCCTTCGCCATGTTCACGGACGCAAATACCACTCATGGACATTTGCACGAAGAGAAACTGAAGGTCAATGCCAAGGTCATAGCATCCTTACTCCGAAGTTGGCCTGGACTACTTACCCTTTCCATGAACAATTTTCTGCCCCTTCGATCCTTACTTTGGTCCTTACAGATTCCTACTCCTCATGTTCGGAACATCATCTTGGAACTTTTATTCGATCTTCTCAGGATCAAGCCTCCCTCCTGGTCATCCTCTTTCCTTGCTGGTCGGCGTTTGACTACCTATGGCCGCGTCACGAATCTAAAAAACCAGCAGATCAAAGAGACTTCAACCTCCAGTAGCACCGAGGACGACACCACCAAGTGGAGCTTACTAGACCATTATGTCTCTGTAGTTCTGGCTGCATTTCTACATGCAGGTTTGATGCCAGCACTGCTACAGGCCGAAGAGGAGTCTCTGACATTGCCGTTGAAGCGCAAGACAACCCTTCTAATTGGGGAAGTTTTGAAAATGGCCAATGAATTACTACCCCCCTCGTGGAGCGCGCAGATCCAAGTACTCCCACAACTTTTGCACTCAGCGGCGCGGTTCGACTCAGAAGACCGCTTTGTCGC